GAGAATATGGACTGATATCACTTTGATTTTAGTGTAATTAAGGAACAGCGTCAGTGTGATTTGTTGGATATTTCTAAGCGATTCAGAGCCATTTCAGTTGGATTCTTTATGAATTTCAGCGCAATTTCAAAGAAGTTTGGAAAAACCTGATGCAATTTTAGAGTAATTTTGGGGAAATTTTGATCAATTATGGTGCAATTTTGTAGTAATCCTGGAAAGTATGGAACAATTTCAATGCGGTTTCAGTACAATTAAGGCGCAATGTCACAGCAATTGTAGCAACATATTGGATGGACCATGGACCAATTACGGTAAGATTTAAGAACCAAATTGGAGAGATTTTAAAAAACAACGTGAAGAGCTATTTCAGACTGCTGCTTAATTTATGTCTGTACAAATTATCCTGCAATTTTGAAGAAAATTCGTTATGTTTGTGGAATCATTGTGGAGAGACTTTAATGTAAATATGGAGAGTTTTGTGAGGAGTCCCAGTTCCATTTCAGACCAATTTCTCAAGGATTGTTGGGCAAACAAGGATGGACTATGGAGGAACTTCAATTGGATTTCAGTGTGATTCGTCAGAAATTCCTAAGCGATTCGGAGCCATTTCAGTGCGATCCTTTATCGATTTCTGCACATGTTCAATGCAAGTTTGGAAAAACCTGATGCAATTTTAGAGCAATTTTGGGGAAATTAAGATCAATTATGGTGCGACTTTGTAGTAATCCTGGTAGGTATGGAACAATTTCATGGGTTTCAGTACAATTAAGGAGCAATTTTGGCACAATAATGGATGGACCATGGACCAATTACGGTAGGCTTTCAGAGCCAAATTGGAGAGATTTTAAAAAACAATGTTGAGAGCTATTTCAGTCTGCGGCTTAACTTATGTCTGTACAAATTATCCTGCAATTTTGGACAAAATTCATAAGGTTTCGGAATCATTGTGGAGAGATTTTAATGTATATATGGAGCATTTTGTGAGGAGTCCCAGTTCCATTTCAGACCAATTTCACAAGGATTGTTGGGCAAACAAGGATGGACTTCGGAGGCACTTCAATTGGATTTCAGTGTGATTCGTCAGATCTTTCTAAGCGATTCAGAGCCATTTCAGTGCGATCCTTTATCGATTTTTGCACATGTTCAAAGCAAGTTTGGAAAAACCTGATGCAATTTTAGAGCAATTTTTGGGAAATTTAGATCAATTATGGTGCGACTTTGTAGTAATCTTGGTAAGTATGGAAATATTTCAATGCGATTTCTGTACAATTAAGGCACAATTTTTGAGCAATTTTGGCACAATAACGGATGGACCATGGACCAATTACGGTTAGATTTCAGAGCAAAATTGGAGAGATTTAAAAATCAACGTGAAGAGCTATTTCAGTCTGCAGCTTAATTTATGTTAGTACAAATTATCCTGCAATTGTGGAAAACATTCATAAGGTTTCAGAATTATTGTGGATAGATTTTAATGTATATATGGAGCATTTTGTGAGGGGTCCCAGTTCCATTAACAAGTGATTCAGAGCCATTTCAGTGCAATCCTTTATCAATTTCTGCACATGTTCAAAGCAAGTTTGGAAAAACCTGATGCAATTTAAGACCAATTTTGGGGAAATTTAGATCATTTATGATACGACTTTGTAGTAATCCTGGTAAGTATGTAACAATTTCAAAGCGATTTCAGGACAATAAAGGAGCAATTTTTCAGCAATTTTGGCACAATGATGTATGGACCATGGACCAATTACGATAAGATTTAAGGGCCAAATTGAAGAGATTTAAAAAAAAACAACTTGAAGAGCTATTTTAGTCTGCGGCTTAATTTATATCGGTAAAAATTATCCTGCAATTTTGGAGAAGATTCGTAACATTTGTGGAATCATTGTGGCGATTTCAGACCAATTTCACAAGGATTGTTGGGCAAACAAGGATGGACTTTGGAGCAACTTCAATTGGATTTCAGTGTGATTTGTCAGATATTTCTTAAAGATTCGGAACCATTTCAGTGCGATCCTTTATCGATTTCTGCGCAATTTCAAAGCAAATTGGGAAAAACCTGATGCAATTTTAGAGTAATTTTGGGGAAATTTAGATCAATTATGGTGCGACTTTGTAGTAATCCTGGTAAGTATGGAACAATTTCAATGCACTTTCAGTACAATTAAGGAGCAATTTTCATCAATTTTGGCACACTCTTACCGTACACTTTGGTACGGTAAGATTTCAGAGCAAAATTGGAGAGATTTAAAAAATCAACATGAAGAGCTATTTCAGTCTGATGCTTAATTTATGTCTGTACAAATTATCCTGCAATTTTGGAGAAAATTCGTAACGTTTGTGGAATTATTGTGGAGAGATTTTATTGTAAATTTTAAGTCTTTGGACATTGAACTCGAGGAGCTCAGAAACATCTGGAAGTCAACAGTCTGAACAGGTTTTGAACAAAAATGATGACCGAAATGGTGAATGAAGTGGAAAGTTATTAATTTATGTCTGTACAAATTATCCTGCAATTTTGGACAAAATTTATAACTTTTTTGGAATCATTGTGGAAGTTTTCAGACCAATTTTACAAGGATCCAGTTTTATGGCATAAAACTGGAGCTGACTAGGATTGGGCCTGCTGACTGTGGTCACATCTAATTGATTTAACATTGTCGCTAATCACTCATATCCTAACCCTGTAGGCTGAACTCATTTTGTTTCACCATTATATGAGCTTTTGTTGTTGCTGTTGTTTCTGCTGTCCCCTGTCTCTTTCTCTCACCCTCGTTCTCTACTCTCGCTCCCTCCCCCTCCCTCTCCTTACGCACTCTCTCTCTCTTCCCCTGCCCTCTCCTCTCTTCTCTCTCTCTCTCTGTCTGTCTCTCTCTCTGTCTCTTTCTCTCTCTCTCTCTCTTACTCCATCTCTCTACATTCCTCCCCAACCCAGCAGAGGCATGGTGGCTGTCTACCATGAGTCTGGTCCTGCTCAAGGTTTCTGCCTGTTAAAAGGAAGTTTTTCCTTGCCACTGCTACTCATGTTAGTTGAAATGGGCCAAAACCCATCTTAGGTTGGTTCTTGATCATCAAACGACGAGCGTGGTCTAGACCTGCTCTTGTTCTTTGACAAGCGTCTTAAGGTGACAACTGTTGTGAAGTGGCGCTATATAGATAAAATTTGACTAGATTTGATTTGATTTGATGACTGTTGGGCAAACAAACATGGACTTTGGAGCAACTTCAATGAGATTTCAGTGTGATTCGTCAGATCTTTCTAAGCGATTCAGAGCCATTTCAGTGCGATCCTTTATCAATTTCTGCACATGTTCAAAGCAAGTTTGGATGCAATTTTAGAGTAATTTTGGGGAAATTTAGATCAATTATGGTGCGACTTTGTGGTAATCCTGGTAAGTATGGAAATATTTCAATGCACTTTCAGTACAATTAAGGAGCAATTTTTCATCAATTTTGGCACAATAATGGATGGACCATGGACCAATTACGGTAAGATTTAAGAACCAAATTGGAGAGATTTTAAGTCTGCGGCTTAATTTATGTCTGTGCAAATTATCCTGCAATTTTGAAGAAAATTTGTAACATTTGTGGAATCATTGTGGAGAGATTTCAGAACAATTTCACATGTATTGTTGGGCAAACAAGGATGGACTTTGGAGCAACTTCAATGAGATTTCAGTGTGATTCGTCAGATATTTCTAAGTAATTCGGAGCCATTTCAGTGCGATCCTTTATCGATTTCTGCGCAAATTCAAAGCAAGTTTGGAAAAACCTGATGCAATTTTAGAGCAATTTTGGGGAAATTTAGATCATTTATGATACGACTTTGTAGTAATCCTGGTAAGTATGTAACAATTTCAAAGTGATTTCAGAACAATTAAGGAGCAATTTTTCAGCAATTTTGGCACAATAATGGATGGACCATGGACCAATTACGGTAAGATTTCAGAGCAAAATTGGAGAGATTTTAAAAAACAACGTGAAGAGCTATTTCAGTCTGCTGCTTAATTTATGTCTGTACAAATTATCCTGCAAGTTTGAAGAAAAACTAACGTTTGTGGAATTATTGTGGAGAGATTTTGATGTATATATGAAGCATTTTGTAAGGAGTCCAGTTCCATTTCAGACCAATTTCTCAAGGATTGTTGGGCAAACAAGGATGGACTCCGGAGGAACTTCAATGAGATTTTAGTGTGACACCTCAGATATTTCTAAGTGATTCAGAGCCATTTCAGTGCAATCCTTTATCGATTTCTGCACAATTTCATAGCAAGTTTGGAAAAACCTGATGCAATATACGAGCAATTTTGGGAAATTTGGATCAATTATGGTGCGACTTTGTAGTAATCCTGGTAAGTATGGAACAATTTCACCGCGAATTTCAGTACAATTAAGGAGCAATTTTTCAGCAATTTTGGCACAATAATGGATGGACCATGGAAAAAAAGGAGCTCTTTAAGTCTGCTGCTTAATTTATGTCAGTACAAATTATCCTGCAATTTTGGACAAAATTTAAAACGTTTGAGGAATCATTGTGGAGATTTCAGACCAATGTCACAAGGATTGTTGGGCAAACAAGGATGGACTTTGGAGCAACATCGAGATTTCAGTGTGATTTGTCGGATATTTCTCAGTGATTTGGAGCCATTTCAGAGCGATCCTTTATCGATTTCTGTGGAATTTCAAAGCAAGTTTGGAAAAACGTGATGCAATTTTATAGTAATTTGGGGGAAATTTAGATCAAGTGTGGTGCTTCTTTGGAGTAAGCCTGAAATGGTTATGGAACAATTTCACTGCGATTTCAGTACAATTGAGGAGAAATCTTATAGCAATTCTGGCACCATAATGGATGGACCATGGACCAGTTGCGGCAAGATTTCAGAGCAAAATTTGAGTAATTTTAAAAAACAATGTTTAGATTTTATTAGATTATGTATCATTTGTGTTGAGTCCCAGTACAAATTCAGAGCAATTTAACAATGATTGTTGGGCAAACAAGGATTGACCATGGGCTGATTGTGGTGGATATCAGAGCAAAGCCAGAGCAGTTTAAAAAAATCCCATTAGATCTATTTCACTCTCCTGCATAAATTATTTCTTTACAAACTTAAATGCAACTTTGGACAGATTTAACTGTGTTTGTGGAGCAATGTGGGGTAAATTTTAAGTGAATACACTGTGATTAAAGTGCAATTTGTCAGTGACATATTTAAACCATTTCAGTGCAATCCCTGAACAGTTTTTGTGCAATTTAGAGGAGAGTTTGGAGAAATTTCTAAATAATGTTGGAGTTGTTTTGGAATGATTGTGGAGATATCCTTGTGAGCACATAGACTGATTTCACTGTGATATCAGTGCAATTACAGAGCAGTCCTACAGCTGCAGCTAATGGGATCTTAGGGCAAATTTTTAAATAATTTGAACAACAAAACAACAATATAATTCATCTTTCAATCCAATGCTTAAATAACTAGAAAAGCACTCGGAGAGCACAGACCTTCGCCAAGCAGCTCATGTCCCCCCTTATATTGTGATTCACACCAAAACTTTTACTGTTACGTGTCTTTTATTAACTTTTGTTTGTGTTCAAACTGGTATGTTCACTGTTCATAATGTTCCTAAAACAACAAAGCTCATATTAGATACATAAATGCATGATTTATTGTGCAATATTTGTAAGCGTACAAACCTTGTATCTTCATTGGTTATCTTTCCATTTTCATTTTCTACCACTTATTCCTGTTCCCGGGGTCGCGGGGTGCTGGAGCCTATCCCAGCATCTTCGGGTGAAGGCAGGGGACACCCTGGACAAATTGCCAGTTCATCGCAGGGCTGAAATATAGAGACGAACAACCTTCCATGCTCACATTCACACCTATGGGCAATTTCAACAACAGACTGGACTGGAAATCCAACACCGACGCTGTCTACAAGAAGGGGATGAGCAGACTCTACTTCCTGAGGAAGCTGAGATCCTTCAACGTGTGCAGCAAGATGTTGGAGATGTTCTACTAGTCTGTGGTGGCCAGTGTACTTTTCTTTGCCGTGGTTTGTTGGGGGAGCAGCATCGGAGCCAGTGACACCAACAGACTCAACAAACTGATCAGGAAGGCTGGCTCTGTGATTGGCTGCAAACAGGACACTGTGGTGGAGAGGAGGACACTGACCAAACTGTTATCCATCATGGATAACCCTGACCACCCTCTCCACCTCACTCTGGACAGACAGCAGAGCTCCTTCTCCAACAGACTGTTGCAGCTCCATTGTCAAAGGGACAGATACAGGAAATCTTTCCTGCCACAAGCAATTGCACTGTTTAATAACTCACATCTGTCAGACAGGGACTCACATCTGTCTGCTGTTGGTCCATTTTTTAAAACTCCTACCAAATCACATTACTGAGCACCTTAATTTGTCTGTTTATTTATCATCCCATCTGTATATTTCGCATTTCATATTTATTACTCATTTCATATTTATTACGCATTTCAATAACCCACGATCTTCATATCTCACTTTTTTCTCTTAGGATGTTTAGTATATTTAGTCTTGATTTATTGTATATACTTGGTATTTTTAATATTTTTAGTCTGTATTTCACTTACTTCTTCTTATATTTAATTTTATTTTGTATTTTTTGCCGCTGTAACATGTGAACTTCCCAGTTTGGGATCAATAAAGTATATCTATCTATCTATCTGAGCAGCCACATTCACCCAGTAGGTTTCACTGACCATCGTCTAGTCACTGTAGGTTTTCACATCTCACCAACCACCAGAGGCAGCTCTTACTGACACTTTAATGTAAGGCTGCTACAGGACAAAGTTTTCTTTAAGACTTTTCAGACGTTTTGGGGAACATGGAGGGACAGGAAGAGGGAATTTGAGTCACTGATTCAATGATGGGAGGTGGGAAAGGCTCACATTAGGGTTTTCTGTCAACAACTGACTTCCTGGATGCTGAGGTCTCTCTGGAGGAGCTCACAGCGGCACTAATGGCCCTGGGTGGAGCTCCTGGATTGGATGGACTCCTGGCTGGTTTTTATAAACATTTCTGGAGGCATCTTGGAACTGACCTGTGGGAGTTGCTGCAAGAAGCCTCTTGGACTGGTTTATTACCAACATCGTGTAGGCATGCAGTCCTCTCACTGCTGCCTAAGAAAGGCGACCTGGCTTTGCTGGAGAACTGGAGACCAGTTGCTTTGTTATTCACTGACTACTAGCTCCTATCCAAAGTGCTTGCAAACAGACTCAAGAATGTATTGGGAATAACAATCCACAGGGACCAGTCATACTGTGTACTGGACAGAACCATCATAGACAATCTTTTTCTTGTGAGAGACTAACTGGACTTTTGCAAATTACATCATATGGATGCTGGCATTATTTCTTTAGATCAGGAGAAAGCTTTTGATCGAATTGATCACGGTTTCATTTTTTCCACTTTAACAGCTTTTGGGTTTGGAGATGGTTTTTTTTTCCACTGTTGAGTTTGTTGTATAGTGAAGCTTGTTGTTTGGTCAAGGTGGATGGGGGGCTAAGCTGTCCAATGCAGGTTCAGAGGGGCATTAGGCAGGGGTGTCCACTCTGGCCAGCTGTACTTGTTGGCCATTGAGCTACTTCTGGCTAAATTGAGATCTAAACTGTCTGGGATTAGTTTGCCAGGGTTGATTCACTGCCCCCCACTGGTGGTTTTGGCCTACGCTGATGATGTCAATGTCTTATTCAGAACCAGGGCGATGTGTCTTCTCTCACATATACTGAATAAATACATATACTGAACTCATTTTGTTTCACCATTACATGAGCTGTTGTTGTTGTTGCTGTTGTTTCTGCTGTCTCTCTCTCACCCTCGTTCTCTACTCTCTCTCCCTCCCCCCCTCTCCTTACTCATTCTCTCTCTCCTTCCCTTATCTTGTTCTCTCTCTCTCCCCCTGCCCTCTCCCCTCTCCCCTCCTCTCTCTCTCTCCATCTCTCTACATTCCTCCCCAACCCAGCAGCGGCATGGTGGCTGTCTAACATGAGGCTGGTCCTGCCCAAGGTTTCTGCCTGTTAAAAGGAAGTTTTTCCTTGCCACTGCTACTCATGTTAGTTGAGATGGGCCAAAACCCATCTTAGGTTGGTTCTTGATCATCAAACAACGAGCGTGGTCTAGACCTGCTCTTGTTCTTTGAAAAGCATCTTGAGATGACGACTGTTGTGAATTGGCGCTATATAAATAAAATTTGATTGACTGATTGATTGATACAGCCTCTCCATAACAGCTGACCAGGTGAGAAGTGAGTTGAGGAAGATCAAGCCAAGGAAAGCCACGGGTCCTGATGGCATCAGCTCCAGACTCCTGAAGGACTGTGCAGACCAGCTCTGTGAGGTGCTACTGCACATCTTCAGCTTGAGCCTGAGTCTGGAGAGGGTCCTAGCACTGTGGAAGACTTCCTGCATGATTCCTGTCCCCAAGATAGCACACCCCAGGGAGCCCAACCACTTCAGACCTGTGGCCCTCACCTCTCACCTGATGAAGACTCTGGAGAGGATCGTGCTGAGGGACCTCCGTCTCCTGGTGAGCTCTCATCTGGATCCTCTGCAGTTTGCGTATCAGCCAAACATCGGGGTGGATGACGCAGTCATCTACCTGCTGCAGAGGTCCATGGCCCACTTGGAGAACACCGGCAGCACTGTGAGGGTCATGTTTTTTGACTTTTCCAGTGCTTTCAACACCATCCAGCCTTCACTGCTCAGGGGGAAGCTCGAGAGGGCGGGAGTGGACTGTCACCTAGCCGCATGGACCGTGGACTACCTCACCGACAGACCACAGTTTGTGAGGCTTCAGAACTGTGTATCGGACATGGTGGTCTGCAGCACAGGGGCTCCACAGGGGACGGTGCTCTCCCCCTTCCTCTTCACCTTGTACACCTCAGACTTCAGCTACAACTCTGGGAGCTGTCACCTCCAGAAGTTTTCACAGCCAATGTCAGATGTGTATCGTCAGGGGATGAGCGGGAATACAGGACTGTCATCAGTGACTTTGTCAACTGGTGTGGCACAAACCACCTCCAGCTCAACGCCAGTAAGACAAAGAAGATGGTTGTGGATTTCCGCAGGAGGAGGTCACTTCAGACTGTTCCAGTGAACATCCAGGGTCTGGACATCGAGATGGTGGAGTCCTACAGATTCCTGGGTGTCCACCTCAACAATAAACTGGACTGGTCAACCAACATAGACATCCTGTACAAGAAGGGCCAAAGTCGTCTCCACCTGCTGAGGAGACTGAGGTCCTTTGGAGTGTGCAGGACTCTGCTCAGGACTTTCTATGACTCTGTGGTAGCATCTGCACTTTTCTATGCAGTGGTCTGCAGGGTGACAGGGAGCACCGAGAGGGACAGGAAGAGACTGAACAGACTGGTCAGGAGGGTCAATTCTGTCCTGGACTGTTCCTTGGACTCCCTGGAGGAGGTGGGTGAGAGGAGGATGTTAACAAAGCTTGTATCCATCATGGACAATCCCTCTCACCCACTGCACCAGACTGTGGGGGCTTTAAGCAGCTCCTTCAGCAGCAGACTTAGACTCCCACCTTGCAAGACGGGGCGCTACCGCAGGTCATTCCTCCCCTCTGCAATAAGACTTTACAACGAACTGTAATAAAACTGGACTCACACCACCACTTTTTTCTGGCATTTAAATTGTGTATATTGTAGATAGTTTTATTTTTCTTCTCTCTTTTTCTAAATTTTTTCTTATTACATTATTTTAAGTTCTTAATATTAATTTCTTTATTTTTATAACTGCATTTTTTGCACTCTGTCTGTGATGCTGCTGTGACAAAACAAATTTCCCCCATGGGGGATCAATAAAGGAATATTCTATTCTTCTATTCTATTCTATATGCATGGATCTTTACAGAAAGGCTGCCTCAGCAAGGGTCAGTTGGGGAAAAAGTGAGGCTTTGCAGTTGGGGCTGTGAAGGGAATCAGGGGCGTCGGTTTTACTGGGAAATCCAAGCTGGGGAAGGCAGGGCATGAAGGTGCTGGGGGGGTTTCTTGGAAATGAGCAGTTTCAGAGGAAGAACTGGGAGGGTGTGATGGAGAAAGTGTGCGCCCGACTGTCTAAGTGGAAATGGCTGCACCCTCAGCTTTCCTACAGGGCAAGAGTCCTGATTGTCAATAACTTGGTTGCCTCGACCCTTTGGCATAAGCTGAGGGTCTTGCAGCCACCAAGGGGCCTGGTGGAAGCCGTCCAGAAGAAGACGGTGGAGTTCTTCCAGTCAGGACACCATTGGCTGAGATCAGCTGTGCTGCACCTGCCAGTACATAAGGGTGGACAGGGCCTGGTGAACATTGTGGCGCAGGTTGCAGCTTTTAGGCTGCAGTCGGCCCAGAGACTTTTGTACAGTTTTGGTCTGCTGTGGATGGACACAGCCTGTTTGCTGCTGAGGAAGGCTGGTCATCTTGGGTACGACAAACATCTGTTTCTGCTTGAGCTTAGCTCAGTGGACTTATCTGGGTTGACACCTTTTTATCAGTCGATGGTTCAAGCAGCACAGGTCTTTATTTTTCAGTGGAAGCCTGCAGTAACACCAGGCATGTGGCCGTTTAAGGAACCTCTGTTTCAGAACAGTTTTATCTCCTCTGGGGTCCTGTCCTCTGACAGCCTCAGGATCAGACTGAGGGAGGCCGGCTGTGTGAAATTGGGTCATCTCTTAAAGACCTCCATCCCTCACTTGGCAGAGCGATTCAGCATCAGGTCACACAGACTGCTGTCCAAGCTGGTGGCAGAGGTCTGTGTGTCCCTCCCAGAGGTCTTTAGAGGTTTTGTGAAGGACCGGACTGTTTTGGACCAGTGGGAAGAGCAGCATGAGTACATATTGTACATCGATGTGAAGGTGGCAGGCCTGCACTCCCTGGCCGAGTTGAAGGTGTCAACTTAGACTGAGTTTTTTGGCAGGGGCTCTTCCCCAGTAGGTTGTTGGCGGTCCCTGTACAAACCTCCCGTTGATAAACAGACGGGCGACCTCCAGTGAAGGGTTGTACATGGGGCTATAGCTACAAACAGGTATCTGGCACAGCTCGATCCTAGCATGGGGGACAGCTGTGCCTTCTGCTCTGACACTGAGACGTTACACCATCTCTTTGTCCAGTGTCCCAGGATGGGCCCTTTGTTCAGGCTGCTGCGGGGCTGGTTTCAGGAGTTAGGGGAGCACTTTTCTTTCTATGGGCCATGCTCTTCTGTGCACAAGAAGGCAGCTAAAACCCTCATAATTTACATCTCAGGCTAAGCCAAACAGGTCACTTGGAAGACAAGGAAGAACAGGGTGGGAGGTCAGGGGTCACAGGACATGGTGCAGATGTTCACAGGGATGCTGGCAGCTCGGCTTAGGTTGGATTTCAGTTTTTACAGGTTTACAGTCCAAACTGAGGTTTTTGTTGGGACCTGGGCTGTAAATGGGGTTTGTGTACAGTCCAGGAAAATTCACTGGTCCTGAGGTTTTGAGCTTTTTCCTTTGTCATCTTATCTCGGTTGATAATGTCCTGTTTTTTGCTGTTGGAGTTTTTTATTTGAATTTTTGCGACATGAGACGGACGGGTAATAAAGGTTTGGTTTTAAAAATATAGAAATCTTTTTTCATGTAAATCTCCAACTATCCCATCTCTCCCCCACCCCAGTGGTGGCAGGTAGCTAACATGAGTTTGGTTCTGCTCAAGGTTTCTGCCTGTTAAAAGGAGGTTTTTCCTTGCCACCATAATTAGCTAAATACAGCAAAGTGCTTCACTTATGTTGGTTCAAGAGGGGTTAAGAGTGGGTCCTATTTCTACATGGGATTCAATCTTTTCCCATCTTGAAGTTGGGTCTTTGTAATACTTTAAATAAGGAGTTTGGTCTAGATGTCCTGTTTTGGAAAGGGTCTTGAGATAATGATTGTTGTTATTTGGAGCTACATAAAAAAATTGATTGATTGGTTAGACAATCTTTAAAACACATTGACTGTCACAGTAAGAGTCACAGGTATCACACTAAACTTCATAATTTTTAAAAACAAAAAAATGTTGTGTATACAAAGGCTGTCCCAATATAGCAGTATTGAAAAAATAAAAACTGATTCTGTGACTAAATTAAGCATTAAGTAATACTGTGAGTTTGTAGTGGACCTTTATAGTGGCTGTCAGAAGTTATAAAATGAATGAATGACAAAAAAAGAAACAGTAGAACAAGCTACCTGTAGCAGCCCTCGATAAGAGATGGCTATCACAATTAAAAACTGACTCTCAAAGATGTATTGGGAATTTAAAAACAACGTCAGAGCTTTTGCCTCTATAAGTTACTTATTGAGCAAATATTTAAACTTCAGACTATTCTGATAATTGTTTTCCTTTCGATCCCCTACTTGTGATCTGCAGGAAATAGCTTGTGCTTTAAAATGAAAGCATAGCTGTTCTGTATACCATGCAGAAAATGCAGCAACCCAAACACAACCCAGAAAAAAATAAAAAATAAAAACATGACAAACAAACATTTCTGAGATACTAACCTTTCCAAACAAGTTTCAGTCATTGTTGTTACTGTTGTTTTATTGATTGTCTGATTGTCTTTATTGATTTTATTGATTTCAGCACATAAACAGTATTTTTCATATTTTATCTCGTAGGATGATAATTTTTTCTCGTAGGATGGCACAGCCCGCACAGTGGTATTTTCGTCTGGCGGAGCCCGGCGCCCCAGTGAGGTGTGCCAAGCTGGGCGTGGTGGCACGGTAGGGGGAGGTGTCGACAGAATCAGCTGGCGCAGTGTAATTTTTGTGCTTGCTGGCGGCGTAGAAAGTGCGCTGAAAGCTCAAACCGGGTCAGCTCTCAGCACAGGCGGGGCGCAGCTGATCAAGTAGTATTTTAGTAGACCGGCAGCGTAGTGCGCATACATCACTGATGCCTCCCCAGCAGGTTTCCACAGTTTCAGGCACATTTAAGTGAAATAAATAATCAACAACAACCAATATTCAGTACAACTATCTGAGTCAGCGCATACATTTATATATATATTGATATATTCTGATCTACATCTTATCTGATGAGCACGTTTGGCACGCATTTGGACACTCCACCTGACTGAAATAACACAGCTGAAACTGCATTAAATTAAATATCCAGTTAAGTCACACATGATGAAGTTAACAAGATATTTAATTTGTCTCCCCCCTTTTTTTCTCTCCCTCTTCCTCTTATTTCTCGCGCAGCTGGAATCAGACACATCTCTGTGTCCTCTAACCTGTCCTGCTGCTGCGGCAAGGCTAAAAATATCATTTATTTCAGTGATCAGATGAGTTATTTACTTAAAAAAAGAAACTTTAATTCACAATAACCTGTTTATCTGATGTTTTCATATTCAATCAGGAGTTAGGCCTACATTACGAATATGATAATATTCACTTGTGTGAGCCAAATTAATTTTATATGCCAACATAAATGAAAAAAAAAGAGCCAGGCCACAGAGCGTGATGCGTCCTTTACACACAGGTGGTTCTGATTTTACGCCATTATTGGAATTTGTTTATGCTGTGATCTGTGTGCTCAACCCACCTTTGTCACATTTGGTTTTAATATATGCAACTTGATGTGAGTGTCTTTATTTGTTGAAAAGGATGCTTGTCTTACCAGAAGGTACAACCTTACACACACCAAATCCCTCTGTGCTTATTTGAGAGAGTGTGGAGGACGCCCTGCAGTGCTTACAGTGACACTTGTTGAGGGCCATCGCCATTGTGTGGCATTGCTGTCTTCAGCCACCTCTTGATCTCTCGGACTACTTCATGAAAACTGTAATATGCCTTAACGGTGGCAAATTTAAAGAGGACATGAAACACACCACATTGGCATCCTCACGTGGTAAAAAATCAATAAGGAGAGAGTCTGAAATATTTTTTTGTATAAAAAAATCAGCTGTTCAATAGGAAAACCGCTTTCAAGAGTGTATTTACGACATGCGCACAGCGCCATCTTGAGTTTACTACATTTGTGACGTCACCGGTTGTGCAGGAACAGAGTGGTTAAATAGTAATTAGTGTACGTGACTCAATCGCTTAGTGGTAAGATGTCGGAGGATAAATTTAAGATGGATGTGGTGGAGGTCTATCCTGCCAACCCGATGGCGTATTCTTTAGAGCCGGTCAGAAAGAGACCATGTAAGCGAGAAGGAGAAGCGGAGGAGGAGGAGGCAGTAGCAACATTACACACATGCACGCTCAAACACACACACACACACACACACACACACACACACACACACACACACACACACACACACACACACACACACACACACACAGCAGCAATCCGAAGTAAATATCGGCATTAACTGTATCAACTTAATCACCCGAATCTCTCTCATCTTCACACCTGTCTCCTGTTAAGTGTCCAAAACTAGGTAATAACACATGGCTGGTGTTTACAAATTACTCATCATTGATTACAAAATACTCATTAACTTTAGAAAGTCCGATTATGCGGCAACTATTTTATCCTACATGAGTACATGATAGTCCTGTTTGTAACAGACTGTTGAGGTTAAAACGAGGCACACCCAAGTATTGAAAACAACAGTTCGAAAACAATGTGTTTTATACTTTCAGGTGGTGTTGTTTCAAGGTGGAAACATGCTGCTCGCTCAGTATAGATTGGGTTTTAATCTCTCCTTGTTGGTACAGGATATTCTCCTGTGCCACAGTAAACTGTACACCAATTACAAGTACATACAGTAAAAAACACAGGAGGGGATTTTAAAGGGGGCTCGGGTTGTTTGTGCCACTCAGTCACCCGCTAATGAGTAATCAACTTTCACAGCTTGAGTGTTAGGGTGGTAATTCGGGCTGCACACCATGTTCCCGAACCGTGGAGTAGCGATTCATTATCATGAAGATCTGTATAATCAAACAATTAGTGAATTTCTCCTCATCAACAAGGCCTGCTCTCTGTCTGACGGGCTCGGTGGTGATGGAGGGGTTCGGGGAGAAGTGGGATGACAACTGGCTGCCTCTGTGACGTTTCCTGGCTGTTTTCCAGTTGGGGGGATGTGAGGGTTAAACAGCTCTGATGAATGCTCACACACTGTGGATGTGTCAGACTGAGGGGGAAAACCACCGGGACAGTAATTGACACAACAGTAAATGTAAGAGCGAGTGAGGGAGAGATGAAGAGGGAGAGGACGGGTTGTTTATGAGAGATGAAAGCAGAGAGAAAGAAAGAGAGGCATCTAAATATGTCAGTTCTTGTTCCTTATTTCCAGCCTCACTTCAGAGAACAGATCATTTAAAGCTGTGCAGAGCTGGGAAATGAAAAGAAAGCTACATTCTCACAAGATGGTACATTTTTAATACATCCTGTCATTTCTCTGGTGACTGAGCTAAATAGCTTTCTATCATGAGCTCATTCTTTCAGCAGGCTGAAAAGACTCGATCCCCTCTAACTGATCATGCCTTTTTGAATTCTTTGAAATAATAAGTACTATCGGATAGTTTTCATGACAATACAGAGATTTACCACACATCTGCTGCCATTCTGTCTTCTTTACAGCCCTGGTCAAACTGAGCGGTTAGTTTACAGGACAGGATGCCATCCACAGAAAGAGTCATGAAAGCTGCAACTTTTTTTTCTTTTTGGACTAAATCAACTGAAATAATTAGACTTGATTGAACAGGCAAAGAACTGAAAAATGAATAAATAATAATGAAAAACAAGACTCCACTTTGTCTCGCTCTAGGTTACCTCTTGTGTTTCTGTCAGACCAGTTCTTTGTTTTATAATCCCTCATGTGCATCACTGTAGTTTGGTCACGTAATATTCTGTTAACATGATGCTCTAGTTCTTCTGAAGTTTTTTGGTAATCTGCTTGTTTGATTTTAAAAGTTTTTTATGGTACTGATCTAAAGATGAAACAAGACACTTCAGAAGAGAACTGGGTGCTTTTTGGTGTCGTGTTCCAGACATAAATATAGGTATCTTTAGTGTAGCAATGATAATTGACATTATGATATCTTATAATTTTACTGGGTTGGAGCATGTCAAGAAGTAAAATGACCTCAGAAGTAACATGGAGCTTGATAAATGAAGCAAAACTTTCTGAAAAGCAGCAGTGGAAATTTGGCTGTGTGGGTAATCTGATCTCTCCGAAGAATCCATATGTAATTGTGCCAGGCAGCAGGTAGTCATTAGACAAACACAGAGAGCCTCCCTGATGCCAACTTGGCATCATCAGAGCTGTATTAGATACAGAGACAGACAAAAGAGAGAGAAAGAGAGAGAGAGAGTTGTGTGTGTGTGTGTGTGTGTGTGTGTGTGTGTGTGTGTGTTAATGTGTTTCACATTTACTGCACAAACATGAAGAAGCTGAGTGGCTTAAATGGCTCACTGCTCTGTTACTGAGTTGTTGTTGGAGTCAGTTCAAAACTGGTGCATTTAGAGCCAAGCTAATGTTATTTTTCAATGATCTGACTGTAATAAAAGATAGTCCGTGGAGCGTAAATCCTAGAGTAACTCTTTACAGGGTTGTGTCAGGAGCCGATTGACTCCCAGACTTCATAAAGAACAACACTAGGGGGTCATACCTAAACTTGAGACCATGCAGCTGTTGCTCCTTTCGATGATTGTCATTGTCATGAGGTAAAAATCTGTTACCCCAACAGCCCTAAAACAGCCCTAAATTATTCATTTTCCATCACAGACGTTTTTTTTTGTGTGTTTTGAATTTATGTTAAAACAGTTGTAGTAGCTTTTCTTTCATTTGTTTCTGAATAACTTATAATCAGAATAAGTGTTTTATTAGCCACATGCTAATTGGGTTACCATGTAATTTCGTAGATAGTCTCACATGCTGCTAACTCCATATTTTGGCAAATTAAGATAATATTACTAAAAGGAACTTTAATGATAATTATTATTGTTGGAATTATAATTTATGTAACTGTAGGTTACAATCAACTTAAACATCCTATAATAGTGTAAACACGAGGAGCCATTATTTGACCATTTTGTTGTCCCTCTACAATAAAACCCCCAGAATATCTCGGCTGTGTGATGATTCACTTCTAATGCACGGGTGCACTTTTATTATTAACTGTGTTTGTAGCTCTGATAACATAATCAAAAAATCCACATTATGCCTCTTTATTAGTTTTTTATGAAAACAATATCAATCTCCAGCAGCCAATAATCCAGCCTGAAATCCGATTTGTTTGACTATGTTATGATGAATAGTTTTTCATAAAGTGAATAAAAAATTTCCCCATTATTCCTGCTAACAACATCACACTGTACATTAGTCATCAGAGGAGCAAAGAGGTGGAGAGACATTGGGCTCTATTTTCGTGTCCGCCGATGAGGCGGCGGAGGGTGGCGAAACCCGCGCAATTGTATTTTCGTCTGGCGAATCCCGGTGTACAACCAGTTTGGTGTTTTCGTGGACTGAGGCGCACCGAGATCCACCAAGCTGGGCGTGGTGGCGTGGCAGAGGGAGGTGTCGACAGAATCAGAGGGTGCAGTGACATGTTTGTGCTCGCCACCGGCGTATGAAGTGTGCTGAAAGCTCGCCGATTCAAACCTGGTCAGCTTTCAGCGCAGGCGGAGCATAGCTGGTCTAGTGGTATTTTGGTAGACCGGCTGCGTATTGGCGTATGTCACTCATGCCTCACCGGCAGGTTTCCACAGTTTCAGGCACATTTCAGTGCAATAAATAATCATCAACAACTATTAATCTGAGTCAGCACATACATTTAGATCTATATAGATATATTCTGATCTATATCTGATCTGATGAGCCCGTTTGGCCACACAACCTGACTAAATCAACACAGTTGGAACCGCATTAAATTAAATTAAACATCTAGTAAATAAACACACATGATGAAGTTAACAAGATATGTAATTCGTCTCCCTCCTTTTCGTTCTTCCTCTTCCTCTTATTTCTCGCGCAGCTCGACCTGGACATGTCTGCGTGTCCTCTCCCCATCCTGCTGCAGCTGCAGCTGCTGCTGCGGCGGCTGAACAGATGATTTGTTTCAGTGCTCAGATGAGTTATTTACTTTAAGCCTACATACGATTATTATAATATTCAGTTTTGTGAGCCAAATTTATTTTATATGCCAACATCTATGAAAGAAAGAGCCAGGCCACGGAGCGTGATGCATCATTTACCCACAGATAGTTCTGATTTTAATGCCATTTTTGGAATTTATGGTGTGATCTGTGCGCACAACCCACTTTTGTCACGTGAGTTTTGAATATATGCAACTTTATGTGAGTGTCTTTATTTGTGGAGAAGGGTGTTTGTCTTACCAGTGGGTTCAACATTACACACACCAAATCCATCTGTGCTCATATGAGAGAGTGTGAAGGACGCCTGCTGCAACGTTTACAGCGACACTTGTTGAGGAGCTGCCTTCTGTCGCCATCATGTGGCATTACTGTCTTCAGCCATCTCTTGATCTCTTTGACTACTTCACGAAAATTGGAATACGCCTCGCCGGTGGCGGATTTAAAGGCGAGGAGAGGAGCTGATGTTATTGGTCAATACAGGTCTCGGCTGTGTTAAACCCACTCCACGCCTTCTCTCCTCCCTCGCTACGACTTACGCCGCTGGGAGTAGCTGAGTTAGGGAGGGGGGATACTTACGCTGGGCTGCGCCACTCACCAAAATACCAAATTCTGCTTGGGAACACCTTGTCGGCGCGACAGACCTGACTTACGCCGCGCATGCGCCGCGTCGCCGGCGAGGCACGAAAATAGAGCCTGTTGTATATATTTTAGATAATGTAGTCACCCAGAGCTTGCATATAAGGGTTAGTCGTGCCCTTCTGTGACTGGGAGAGAGTGATGTGATTTACAGGTCTGGCAGTTTGTGCCAGTTAACAAGTGGAAGAAACTTTGTCGATACATAGCAGAAGAAATGTAAAGACATATAGTTTTTTTCTCTACCTGTTTGGCTCCAGTCAGCACGTAAACAGAAAACACTTTCCAAAGTGGAGATTTAAAGAAATTTTCTAAATTCCGGTCTGTATTCACAGAGACAGCTAGAAATGGGATTTAGAAAGTGCTGACATAATTTCCTCAATATGGCATTCGCTGTTGTTTACATATGCTGCACATGTACTATAAATCGCAGATGGCCGGCTTCTGGTTTGTTTATGTCATTTTAAAACTGTTAGATTAAATTGTATGGTAAGAAATAAACTAGTTGATCTTCATTATTTTAATTATTTTGCAAATAAATATGTAAAAATAGTTGGTTTTTAATCCATCACTCCTTATTTAATTTTGTACAACAACACAAAAAGACTCAAGAAGACCCTAATAAGCATACACATATGTCCTTTTATGATTTTTGAGGCTATAGACTGATGACCCTTCATTCCCATCTGCAGGACTGAACTGCTTATGAGGGTGTTTTTAAACAGAGGGGAAATAATTATGGAAGTACCCGTAGCCTGAGGCAGAGACTTTGACGTACAATTAAAAAAAGTGAAGGTAGACATTATAAGGTAAGATCAGTCGAGTCAAGTTTAGGTAAACAAGATCAGATCAGTTAAGATAACAAGAAAGGTAAGATAACAAGAAAAGTTAAGAGGGGGTATCATGCAATTTTCAGACTCTATATTTCCTTTCTAAAACCTCTGTAATAGCTTTTCATGATTTTCACATCAAAAAAGCCTTACATTTCTCACTCAGGTGTGTTAAAATATCATCATATCAGCCTCCATCTGACACACTAAGATTTATCTGCTGTCTCTTTAAGGCCCCCCTTCCACATGGCCACCATTCCGGAGGCTTTCCGGAAGCCGTACGAGGGCAGCACTCGATGTTTAAGCCCCACCCCCTCTATTGTGGTCAATCAGTTGAGCAAGCAGATCTAGCAGCGTTACCCCCATAGATATCATACATTTGTATATGTACACTACAGGCCAAAAGTTTGGAAGCAAGATCAGATTTGTACAAAAAAAGATCATAGTTTCATATATATAATTTGCAACACAATAAACATGACTATTTTGTAAAGAGTAACTTATCAGAAGACATTCTGACTGTAATTATTAGGTATTTGAGTTTTTCTTGCTTAGACTTTGCTTTCTTTAAAGTAACCTCCTCTGGCTTTAACAACAGCTTGGCATAAACCAGGCATTCGTTCCACAAGTTTTTTAAGGTATGTTCCAGGGACTGCTGATTCGTGGGACGCGTTTTTCTGACCAATCGATCCAATTCATCCCGCACATGCTCAATTAGAGAAAGGTCTGCAGACTGAGGGGGCCAAACCATCTTTTGAAGAACACCTTCCTCTTCTTTTTTGTCTAGGTAACCCTGACAGAGCTTGGCAGAGTGCTTAGGGTCATTGTCTTGCTGCAAAACAAACTTATGAGCCACAAGTCTGAGTCCAGATGGATCAGCATGGTGCTGGAGGATGGAGTGGTACTGTTCCTTCGTCATGATACCCTTTACTTCAAACAAATTTCCTACTCCATCACCTGCAAAACATCCCCATACCATGGAACTACCACCTCCATGCTGAATTGTGGGTGTAACACATGGTGCTTTCAGATGTTCACCAGTTTGTCTGCGGACATAGACTCTGCGTTTTGAACCAAACAGTGCAAATTTGTTTCTAGTCATCATTAGGTCAAATTTTTGTGAGCTTTTGCCCACTTATATCTCTTTTTCTTGTTCTGTGGATGAAGTAGTGTTTTTTTGCAGATACACAACCCTTCAGACCAGCCTTTCTCAAATGTCTTTTCACAGTTGTCAGAGATATGGGTTCCGGCCTTGTTGATTTCCTTCCTTATTTTTGGTGCTGTCTTTTGCCGATCTCTCTTACTGGTGACAATGATATGTTTATCCTCTGCTTTTGTATTAACTCTCTTTCGTCCAGGCCTTTTCCTATCCTCATAAGTCCAGGTTCCTCTAGTCTCTTCAGAGTGTAGTGGACTCCTTTGTTTAACACCTTTAGGCGTTTTGCAATTTCTCTTTCTGTGTATCCTTCTTTTCTTCATGTACAAGTCTGTACTTTTGTTTCTTTACTCAGTTGCTTCTTTCTAGCCATTTTTGTGGTAGTTTGAACGCAGTTGAGATTTATTAGGATTTTTGTGTGCAGACTCTCAAAAGCCAAAAAGTTGAAGTAAATAATCCAACTGTGATTTGTTTTTTTTGCTTTTGCACTAAAGTTGTGACTCTTGCAAATGTTTTCGACCCTGCAACTAAGCCCTTATTTTCTTTTGCTGACATATATTTATCAATGGTCTGTTAACATCAATGTATATCTAAAGGTAAATAGAGTAAAATGGTGCATTTCCATGGCAATGAACCTGTCCAAGGCAGTACCAGAGAGGCCTACAAGGTGCCTTAGTCTATTTAAAAAAATTGTGTGATCTACTGTGTCAAAAGCAGTGCTTAGATCCAGTAGCACAAGGACTGTAAGCTTGTGTGAGTTTTTCTAAAATTTTGCTGAAAAACAGTAAGTTGGACACTGGTCTGTAGTTATTAAGAACATTAGGATCCAAATTGTTCTTCTTCAGAAGGGGTCTCACTACTGCCGTTTTAAGGGCAGCAGGGAAAGAGCCCATCTGAAGAGAACAATTCACTATATTTAAAAGCTCACCTTCAAAGAATCCATAAAAAATTTTTGTGATGAAGTGATGTGGGAATTGGGTCTAAAAGGCAGGTTGTTGGTTTTACTTGGGAGAAAACTCTACCAAGCATCTCAGCATCAACCAGGACAAAACTGTCCAGTGTTTCCTCAGGTAAAAACGAATTTTCCACTGTATTAGAAACAGTGTTTTGATTAGATAAAACAGAGGATCGTATAAAATCAATTTTACCCCTGAAGTGGTCTGCAAAACCTTCACAAAGTGTGTCTGAAGGAGTGATTTGATATCTGTTAAAAACCGGGTTGATTAAAAGATCAATTGTAGCAAAGAGGATTTTTGGGTTATACTTATGATCTGTGATTATGTTGGTAAAATAGGTGGATCTTGTGTGTCTGAGAGCTTTATTGTACATTTTCAGTTGCTCGCAGTATATTTGATGATTAATTGTGATTTTATATTTCCTCCATCTCCGCTCAGCTACCCTGCAATTTCTTTTTAGTTTTTTGATTTCCTCATTTCTCCATGGCAGTGTGCGCTTAGGCAGTACCTTTTTTTGTTCTCAGTGGAGCTACAAGGTCGAGTGTGGTTTCAAGTTTGTTGATAAAATGTTGAACAATAAAATCACAGGATGCAGGTAGAGTAGCTGAGGGATGCTTGCTCATGTTTGTTAAAAAGCTGTGTGAAATCACGCTTTAAAAGCTCGGACTGTTGTCTGGAGGTGTCATTGGTGCCCACGTGTATGACGACCCTGTTTACCTGTGGATGTGAATTCAGGACGCCTGGGATTTTCTCAGTTATGCTGCTGCCTGAGGGGGGTGGCTGGCACAGTGGACCCGTCCTCCCTGTCAGGCGCCCGGGGATGAGGACGTCCAGTATGCCACCACACCACGTCCTTGAGGAGCCGCTCCGCTGGGCTGAGGGACGGGGAGACGGAGGCGAGCGGCACGGTGCTGGATGGCCCGTCGATCCGGTGGGGCACAGGCAGCCATGAGTGGAGGGAAGGCTGTGGTGTCTGTCAGCGGGGGCGCAGCATCTCTCGGGGTGACCTCGGGATCAGCAGGGCCCTGGTCCAGTCATGGACAGAGCCGAATATTTGTTGAAGAGGGGGATGCCGACGGAGGTGGAAACCCTGCACAGAGCCCCGGCAGAAGCCTTCTTCCGATTGCGGACCACTTCCTCAGACCAGGGGGTCCCTTTGTTGGGAGTAGAGCTGGAGGGCCGCTGACAGGAGGAGGAGGAAGGCTCCCAGACGATGGTGTCCCTCAGTGCAGTGGCAGTGCTATGCTGTGGCAGCTCGCTGGTCTGTGTGCTCTCCAACCAGCTGGACAACGTCGGGAGCAGAGATTTAAAAGTGGCCAGGAGTGAGTCCTTCCTCTGCAGCTCGTCTGAGAGTCGACCAATGTCCTCCAGAAGATCGGCGATCTTTTTCTGGACTCTTTTAAGTTGTTTACCAACTTCAACAGGTAAGGAAGCGTCTATGGCGATAGCCTCCATGGTTGCCATGTAGCTGACTCAGCAAGAGTGCATAAAATCCAAGGGTCTGATGACTAAAACCTTTTGTCCGGTAAAAGCAAAAAGATAAAAATAATCCTTTGCTCAAGGAACAAGTGTTAAAAGCGATTAGAACATTAAACTGAATAAAAACAACAGCTTGCGGGAACCTGCACTCTTTTTCTCTGCTACGACAGATAAAACAAAATAAAATAAAGTTAAATAAAACAAAAACCCATACACTGTAAAAGTTCAACTTAAAAGCCAGCAAACTCTTAAAAAGCAATCTTGAAAGTTGTTTAAAACCGGTTAAAATGGGTTAAAAAGTTGGTCACAGGAGAGAGAAATGGCTGGGTGCCATACAACGCCGACGCATGCGCAGAAATGTCATTACCAGACACCAGACAATTTGTCCGTGATTGGAGCAGTTTACATCTATTGTCAAAGATTATGACAACATATGTTTACCTTGTGATTTAAAACTTTGCATACATGTAGTATGGACACCAAACTTTGTGACTTTACAGTTTTTATTGTAAATGTGGATAAGCATGATACCCCCTCCAAGTGAAGTTCAATTTAGAAGTTCTGTAAAATATTATAAAATATTATAAAATATTAAAAGATAAGATCAGTTAAGTCAGGATAAATTGGGACAACATGAAATGAGAGTAGTTAAGTTCACCTTAACTTTAGACTGAGTAGCATTTTGTACTACCAACAGCAGCGCAAAAGACAGAACATCATTTCCAGCCTTTCGGCTTTTACTTATTTCCATTTAAAAGTGTAATGGATCATCAGGTATACTGATCCACAACATGCCAGACCAGCTCTCTGACCTAAACTGTGACTCTTTTGTGAGAAGAACCAGTGTCACAGCAGATGGTGTAGGTGGTACTCGTTAGATGGAGCTTGGTTCGCGGACATTTTCGGTATGGTAACCAAACTCCTGGAAAGGGGTTGGACTTGTTCTTTTACTTGAGTTTGTCTAGAAAACAATGCAGCAGACAAACAGGAACATAAACTAGCCTCTAGTTAAGCACAACAGTGAGATCTTTCTATCTTTTTAGGGCAGAAAGGGTCACCTCTTTGAAAGAATGAGTTTCAATGCCTGACCAAGGTTTCTGCTGATGCACTAAGTCCTGTACTCCCTGTCCGACCTTCAAGGAGTTTCTGGATGGCATCTTTAAAAGAGTCATTTAACCACTGTCTTAACTGCTGTCTTTAACCACATATTTATGGTATGGGTGTTCGAGTGGCTGTCTCATCTCAGTGTAGGCCATAGTTGAGCTCATAGGACTAGTTATTACAATCCCTTATATCAGCACTTGGAATTGAGTGGGGGGGGGGGGGTAAAAGCTTCACTGGGGTCTTCAGGTGGGCACCCCCCTTCACTGGTGTTTCATTGATAGGCCCACGACACCTCCAGGGGGCTCAACGGCGACACCTGGCGTCCCAGGTGTGCCCCCCTCTGCTTTTACCCCTAGGTGGTCATTTTGCAGCCCAGGTGGAGTCCTTTCTCTTGATCCAGAGCCATCTGCTGCTTCGTTCGGCAGCCTCTGATATTGATTTGATGGCTCGTCGGAAGGCCTGTCCTCGTACTCCCAATCTCTTCAGAAGCTTGGTTGTGGATGTTGCAACGAAGCCTCTGCACCCAACCTCCACCGGAAGCACCTGGGCCCTCCAGCCGCGCTTCTCTGCCTCGGCTGCTATGTCCGCATACTTCAGTCGTTTGCGCTCATATGCTTCACCAACTGCTGCCTCCCACGGTACAGTTAATTCAATGATGAACGCAACCTTCTGGGTGGTTGACCACAAGACCAGGTCCGGCCTGAGGCTAGTTGGAAGGATCTCAGGCGGAAAGATGAGTTTTTGGTCTAGGTCAACCTGCATCCTCCAGTCCCGGGCAGAGTCTAGGAGGGTTGCCTCCACTCTTGCAGATGGTTTTGCCGGTGGTTGTCCTGCTCTTACAAATGGGGTGGTGTTTGGGCGTCTAGGCATTGGTGGAGGGAGGGCATTGATGGTTGTTCTCCTTCCTTCCAGAGTGATCGCCAGTTGTCTTAGGACCTGGTTGTGTCTCCAGGTGTAGCGGCCTTGGGACAGACTGGTTTTACAGCCGGTGAGGATGTGACTCAGTGTTGCAGGTGTTTGACAGAGTGCACAAGAAGGATCTTCTCCAAACCATTGGTTTAGGTTTTTGGGTGTGGGAAGAACATCATAGGTGGCTCTGATGATGAAGCTGATTTGGCTTCCTTCCATTTCCCAAAGATCCTTCCATGTGAGCTTACGATGCTCCAGGTTTTCCCAGCTGGTCCACTGTCCCTGTTTGGGGGACATAAAGGGCATCATAGTGGTCCCCTAAATGTCAAACTAACAATCATTAATAATCATACATAAAAACCTACCTTGGTGCCTGTGCAGAGTCCACCTTGGTTGCAGCCTCTGCAGCACATTCAAGGAGACTTCTTCATTGTACCGGGAGTGTGTGTGTGTGTGTGTGTGTGTGTGTGTGTGTGTGTGTGAGGGTTTTATCTCCTTTTTCTCCTCCTCTCAATAAAAGTTTTGGTTGTATCAGCACAAATTAGCATTGATGGTACCTAGCTAATCTCACACAGCTGCAGAATGGAGCATTAGGGAGAGGGTGCAGGGCCCCGGCCCATCTGTGGAGGGACCGACTTACAGTCCCCTGAAACCAACATCACTTTGGCCTTGTCAGATGGTCCCTGCAGTGTGGCTTTATGTGTGTGTGTGAAATACAAAGACAGAGGGAGTGTGTGTTGGTTATGTGTGTGTATTTGTATGCTTGTGTTTGCATTAACTTCCAGAAAACCTTGTGTGTGAAATTAGAGACTCGGTTGCTGTATCGGTGGATAAGCAATTCTCTGAAGAAGCCTCCCCCTTTAGACCCTCACAGCTGTGATCAAGTTGCTTTTGACAGAGATGACAAATTATTTCTCTGAACATTTTGTGTGAATTATAGCTTTACTGTTTCAAGCTCCGCTGTTGCTTTTCTCACTATGATGTTTGTGTAATACTTTCAGGGTCTATCACCTCTCTCTGTCTTTAGCAGGTCTATTTTAGTGGCCTGTGCCCCGTCAGGCTGCAAATCAGCAGCTGTTAGCACCTTTGACCACAGCAGAGAGTCAGAAATAAAGGATAAACTTTCTGTTTCAGCGTCACATTATTGTATGGGTGCTTGACATGAAACAACCTCTCAACACCTTTGATTAATGGTGTCAAAGAAATATAATTTAAATAAAGTTGACGATGTATTGAATGATTCGTTACCATAAAGAGAAGAGAGTTTTAGCCTTGCACAGAAGTTACCTCTCTACACATTCTACTTCTATACCCACAAGGCAGTTGTCCTCCAGCTGCACCACGATCCTGTCTGAGTGTCTCCATGTCAGACCTCAGATGGTGCAGAAGCCCATCTGAGTGTGGCGCCAGTGGCTGGACAGCCCAGACGATAGTGGCCGATACCCTGTCAACACTGACAGCCGTGTCAGCAGCACAAAAGCAGCGCAAGAGCACGACAATGGAGAGTTCATAAAGACCACAGATACGAAAGTCTCTCCTTTAAACCTCATATGGAAAAGTTATAGTCACTTTCATGAGTAATCACAGAACGCTTTATGTAATTGAAGGTGAACTATGACTCAAACAAAAAGACATTGATGTAAAAGGTATGAGGAATTACAAACATCTTCCTCATTAACCTGCCTTCTTTCATAACGTGAGACTGATATTATGAGGCATGGCCACATTTTTTCCCCTTCCTGTTTATCTACCCTTGGTTTTGAATCATAGTTCATTTTCAAATAAAAATAACCCCCTTTCCTCCTCTACTGCTTTTTATTACAAGACCAGTGGCTCAAAATGACAGCCGATGTTTCAGAACAGATTTTAGGCAGAGACTTATGAGTTAGTAAACAAAGATGGAAAAAGAAGAGATAAATACACCTTTTTTGTTCTTAATATTTATAAAAATGTTTTCTATGTATCATACAAAAGAATTGTCTTTTTTGCTATTTTCCCTGATACACTGAAAATTAAGTCGAAATGTCGAGAATTGATAGAGGTCAACATTCAATTTAGAAATGACAGAAAAAAGGTTAAAATTTTGTGACTGTAGTTGATAATCAGAGTCAAGGCAAAACTTAAAATTTCAACCAGTTTTGAAAAAAATATTCAAACACAGATTTGATTTTGAAACGTTACAAGTTGCTAAAATGTGGAAATGGGATTAAAATTGTTACTTCCTCTGATGGTGAGAGGGAAAAAGACTTCAGCCCACCATTACACATACATTTTTTTTTATATCCCTGGCCCTCACAGTTTTGTACATACCTACACTTGATCAGATTTTGGTAACAAAAAAATACAGACATATTAAGAAACTGGGCTGGCTTCATTGTTTGCCTTGGAGTGGTGCTGGAGTAATTCCTGTTTTTTTTTTTTTTTTTGTGTGTGTGTGTGTGTGTGTGTGTGTGTGTGTGTGTGTGTGTGTGTCTTTTGTGTCTTAAACGGGAACTTTCTTTGCAGAAAAGCAAATTGCTGCACAAAAACTAAAGTGCTGCATAACACTTTGATTCATCTTTAGACCCTCGTCAAACCCTGTCACACACAATCCATCCTATGAAAAGTGAAATCTTTTCAGGTGACTTGCACTCCTCTGTAGTTAGTAACCTTGAAGTGAGTGTGTGCTTGGACTAAGGATACAGACCTTCAAAATAAAAGCATCACTACAACCTCTGGTGTGGCTGCAGATGGCTGTTTGCTGATAGAGAGTGAGTAAAAGAGTTTAACTCAAATAAACGGATCTCACCTTCTTTCCTACCTCTCCTACCATTCTCTGTCCTTGCTCAGCCCTTCACTGTCCATGGAGACCATTAGTTAATGAGACCTGGGCTGGGCGTGGCCACCGAGGGTGGCTCCTTCACTTTCCTCCCCCATCAACCCCTTTACTGCTTTCCTCTATCTTAGTCTATCACTCCTGCTCT